TATAACCTCTTCATTTGTAGTTGAGGTTTGGTAGATCAAGTGACCTTGTCATATAACCATTTGAGCAGGTTGAAGACAGTATTAGCGAAGAACCGGCTTTGTACAATTTAATGCAATAGAGTGCTGTATCAATCAGTACCGATTACAAGTCAGGCTGACGAACCTCATTATTTTGTGCAATGTTGCCAAATTTTATTCATAATATAATTTAATCTTTACAACAATATAACTCTTTTTTTAAAGAAGTAATGTTGATATATTTTAATATTATATTTGAATATTATATAGAGTGTCTCTTAAGTAAGGTCGGGGCCGCATTGGAAGCATAGAATGGGTCAAGGGGAACAAAAAAGTCTTATACCATTTTGAGATATCCGCTGTAGTTTTCGAATTAAAAAAAGAAACGCTTCGCCGCTATCCTTCTTCTTGCTATCCTTCTTCTCTATTTTTTAACTTTTTAATTTATAACTTTTATCTTTTTAATTTAGCACTACCCAACCCTGACTATATGCATTTTGAAATCACTCTTACTTATAGTTTATTCATATTATCTTCATAATTTCTTTGAGCATTGTGATTCACAATCAGCTGTAAATTTATTCAAAAAAAAACCAATTTTACATACACTCGCTATTCTTTAACGAAGGCCGTTTTAATCTTATAAAAATCGTCTAACACAATTGCATATATTACAGTAAAAGCTTCTGAATAATAACATAATGCTCTCAGCACACCGCTACGCGACAGACTGTTTCGCAATATTGTAGACTCACGATATTTATTCATTTAACGGCCAAACTATGAACTAGTTTCAGTTTCCACAAGAAATTCAAATTCTGGAAATTTATGGATACATCCCCATACATTGTGTATTTTCCTAGGATGGAATAATCGAAATTTATCATTAAGCGAAACTTGTATCGAATTATTCTACTCTTCATATTTTAACTCTTCATTTTACTCTTTATTTTTAAACATATGGAATATATATTGAATAAAATAATATTGATCATTATTCAGTCATTAATGTTATTAATTTTTACAACTCATCTAATTATTGATAAACTGGTCTTTTTCTTGTTTATTATGCACAAATAACACAAATTAAGTATCATTATAAAATCTAATAAGATTTATATATGCGATTGCATCTTTTGTCTTAATTATTCTTTATAAAAACTTGTAGACTTTAATTATACGCGCTTGCAGCTAGTATTCTTATAAACGGAAAACTATAATAACAGAATATTTGTACAAAAAAGTTAAATAGTACAATGCAACAACAAATCAATGAATATTAAACAAAAGAAACTGTTGTATCAAATTAAAAAGTAAAACCCGCAAATGGTATTATATTTAATTATGCGATAAAACCTAAGTGATATGTAGCTTTCGTATTCCCATTGAAAAATCTTTCTATTAACTCAAGTGTGCTAGTAGCTTCAGTTATTTTTCAAAAAAATGATTATATCTCATAAAATTACATTATTTTACTCAATCCAAGTCACATGTATATTATTTGTATAAAAGATTTGATATCAATACCTGGCGCCAAGTTATAATTCCATTATATTATTTAACTAAGCCTAAGTGATAAGTAAAAATAAAAATATTCTTTCAAGGCGCGCGCGCGCTCACCAAATTAAATCAAACAACACTCTCAACAAACCTTTATGAGCCAAGACTAGATTTTAATGTGAAAATTAAAATTACATGGATGTGTTGTACAATATAGTACAGTATACAAGTAAACGTTTCGACCTTTGGTTGAGATCCTTTTCAATACATTAACACCCTCATTAATTGTCCCTATCTCAAATATAACATTATAGTCAAGTCCTATTGCATCCTGGTCGTCAAAATGGTAAATTTGAAGATTGACAGAAATGCATGGTTTGTCAATCTTCAAATTTACCATTTTGACGATTGTTGCATTTAAATTTAAATTGTTGCATTTAAAATTACATTGAATTGTTGGAAAATGTCACGTCTGAAGAATTTGTGATAAGTAATGACATTAAATATAACCTTCTAAAAGTACGTATCACGTATCAGAATCGTGACATACATATATTTCAAAGTTAATATTGGAATATGTTGCAGAGCTTTTTCTGCTGAAAGTCATTGAAAGTGATTAGATAATAACTGGGCGATAATAACTAATTATATAGCAGCAGTACCCGAGCAGCACAATTCATTGGCGAATCATTGGTTAAACGTTGGCATACATTGGGGATATGTTGGGCCAATGTTACGCCAATGAATTGTGATAAGGGTATGTAATAGATACAATGTTTTTTTCTAGATAATTATACTGTATGACGCATTATATTCTTTTAAACTGTTTTTGCGATAGTAAAATGTTTCAGACGCATCTTATTGCAAGTGAGATTGACTTTAATTAAGCTGTGTTTTGCGCTATTTGCTCTAGAAGAACATGAAATTTTAAAACTTTGCCTGAACTCTAATTCAAATTATATCATCTCCTTTTCTTTGAGCAAGAAAATTGACGTAGACATTGCTATGGAAATAGGCGAGAGAGCAAGGTGATATTTCTTGCTTTTGCATTAGTAATAACGGAAATAGCTTGGAGATAACACTTCGCAGGCAAACAGCAATTAAATACGCGTGTGTAATTCTTTATACTTTGTTTTTTGTCGTTAATTGTTTTTTCTGCATTTTGCTGACGTGCACACACGTTACGAAAATGTGCGCGTGATATCCAAACAAAAGAAAGAAATTGACCTAATTTTACATGGACACAATTACAAGCTTACAGATATCTTTTGAATTTTTAAAAAGGAAAAATAAGTAATCGTTAAAATTAGTTGTCGTTTATTTCGTTCTTTTTGTTAAGTTTTTTTTAAGTTTCGGAATAAGTTTCAATTGATCATTCTTCTAATTTGCGAATCTGGAAAAACTGCTTGTCTCTTAAATTTAACTACATTCTAAATCTGAATCAATGGATAGTCACTAATTATCCAGTGGCATACTTGGCACTGATATCAGTGATTATCCACTGATTCAGATTTAGAGAGTAGATATAACGCAAAGTTGAATATTATTCATGTATCGTTATTAAACGTACTATTGTCAATTTATTGCGAATTTTATTTTTTACTTGATCAAGGAATTGCATTTATAATTGCATCTTCACATACATTATTAAAAATAAATTGTGCAAAAATGAAAAAAAAAACGACATAAAAAGTAAACTTTTGAACTTCATTTAGCAGCAGTTAATGATAAATGAGAGTTTAGATGTAATTACTATTATATAATATTATATAATATTGCAGGTGCCGATAGTTCCTCATTATATTTCAAGATTTTCCATCATTTATCTTGGAGATTGTTTTTTTTTTACACATCTTTAACAATAGTCTTCTTTGCAAATAATTTTGAAATTTGCAATAGAAGAGGTTCTTAAGATTAATATCGGAGAAAATGTTACTGTAATCGAACAAATCTCTCAGTCTCCCTTTCTTTCTCTTGTTTTTATAATTCAATAAAAAAAACATAACACAATCTGTTCTCCATACATACATCAAACGACTAGACATCCGATGATACATCGCGTCGTTTTATTAAATACTGTTTTTTAATTATATATGTGTCAATTGTTTACTGAATTTTTTAAAGCCAAATTTTTGAATAATTATGATGTTTACAATATTATTACAATAAAATTTTGTTTTTGTACATTTATAATTATAATTGTATTTATTATTATTATATTATTATTATAAAAAGTATAGAAATTAAAAAAAATATTATTAAACACATATGTTATGTTTTAATATATAATTTAAAACGTTAATGTAGATATATATTTATCAAGACACACACGTACAACTTTAATAAAAATGAAAAATAATCTTATTTCATATAGGTTTCTAATATTTGAAATAACACGAATTTACATCTTACGTATTTCATCAAATTAGAATTGCATAAGAATTTTTTTCTTAGTAGTTATTATTAGCACGTTAATTTATAGTTACTAGTAAAAAAATTGTAATGTTTATGTAATGTACAATATAGAAAAAAAAGATAATTTAAAATTTTGAAAGCTTAATATATTACTAACTTTAATTAAATTTAACCTTTTAAATTAATTCTTTTTAATCTTAAAATATTTTTTATTTCGACTTTATCTATTCTACACATACAATATAAAAATAAAGGCTTTATTTTATCATATACTTACATTACTTCAATATACACGATTATTTCATTTATTTAAATTATTGTCATAGTGAGTTATGATGAATAATGGATTGAAACAGAGACTGAAATAGCTTCTTGATAATACTGATGCTTGTCATGATTCCATCCTATACGATCATCGTTTTTGGTATACGTTGAAAATTTCATACATACAGCTTCTTCTTCTTTCCGTGTATTGTATTAACAATCGACTCTTCAGCCATTTTGTATCCTCTGTAATCTCTTTCTTCAGCGAAAATGTGAAGAAAAGGAGATTATTTGTTACAATTTTCTAATTTAAAAAAATAATACGCGAAATATGTATGTACATATATATGTATGTATATAATAAACTATTCTTTTCGTGGAAGTCTCTGTGATCGGCGGATTTGAGACAAATAAATGATAAATAAGGTAAATAATATATAAAATTTAATTCTATGAGGAAATAGGAAAACGAAAATGATATTAAGATTTAAGAAACGACAATATATATGAATACATCAAATACGATAGAGAACGCTAATCACGGTCAAAACAATATCTATGGAAATCCGTGGGAATGATTCAAGTGATATGTAATATGATTATTTGTAATCTACAATCTTTTCATTTTTTTATTCAGACGTTGCATATAGAATCATTTGAAGCATATTAAATATGTATTAAGTGGAGGGGGAAAAGATAAAGTAGATAGGAGGCGTAACGTAAGGCGCACTGACAGCGGAAGGGTAAAGATCAAACTGGTCCGAACTCCTGTATAGTCCGTGCTCGTTTATATAGAAGGTAACACATCGTTTTAACGCATTCCAGTAACGACGTGCACTTCATTTCATAAGCACGTTATTCGTCTGTTAGTGTTAAGGCAATTGTTTGGTTGCGTTCCTCACGTGATTGATTATTATCAAGGATTGAATCGATATGGATAACCAATGCTGGAAACTGACCAAGATCCCACCAGGTGCGAAATTTATTGTGCTTAAGAATCCTTAAAATGTGCAATTTCGTATGTAGTATCACAAAAAAGAAAAAGTGTTTTAGACAATTCATATTTAATCTGTAACTTTATTCTACAGTAACGACATCGACACATATTTCATTTTTATGACAGTAAAGTTACAAATATGATGAGTGAAACTAATTTGCATTGTATTAAACCACATTGATATCAAATAAATTCCATAAGGTTTTATTATGTTTTTATGTTATATTCGTAAAATATAATTAAAGTAACCGGACTATATGTGGCTTAAGCTTTACAATTTTTTTTCATTTTTGCTAAGTCTTAAATTGAAAACTGATCGTTAGATTCAAAAGAAGAAATATTTATGGATATTAAAAAAAATATAAAATATTTTTAAATATTTGCAGTGAAGATTAAAAAAATATCATTTAGCAACCCTTTTTCCTCATTTTCGTAAAAAAAAAATTAGAGAAATGGAAAATAAATTGATCCAATATTTATAAAATTATAAGTTTATTAACATATTGACGTGTTTGTTGATATGCAAAAATACAAAGAATTGTATATTTTCTAAAGATCAGCTGACTCATCTATTTATTTACTTGTCTATTTATTCATGATCTGGAATAACAAAAATGTAAAAAAATGTTACAAGCGATGTGTATACACTCACAAGAAAGGGACCCAACTGTCCCTTTCCGATTTTAATGAGCTTTTAATATGTCATTTTCCAAACAAAAATGAGCGACACTTTATGACAATAACAGAATGAACAAACAAATGAGCAATAAACTGATGTAATTGAATCAGACGGACAATCTGTACGATATATTTATGTTATCTCTCGAAACCGTATAATTTATACCTATAAACGATAAATAGGACATACCGAATGCTAAATAATTAAGCTATATAGAATCCGATTACCATGTATCATATATCGAGCTCGTAATATATATAAGGCAAGTAACAAAAAAGCGAGGAAATATAGATGTGATAAAAGTATTACATTTTATTGAAAATTAATGAAAAATGGATTTGTTTTGAACTCACAGGTTGCCCTCAGCAATCCCCTCAGAATGCACATAAAGATTAACCATATCGAAAAACCAATAAGAAACATACTGTAAATATAGAAGGAAAAATTATCAAGAGATCCATAGGAATCAATCCAGTCAATCATGTAATTTCAAGTGAAACTTTTCATTTTTCATTTTTTATTTTCATCGAGATTTAACGTAAAATTTTTCACTCATAACGATTATGAATGTAACTTTGGAGCGTTATAGCTTCTAGATCAATACTCATAGTCCATTCTTATTTCAAGATAATAGTCTGATTGATTAATAATCTATCAGAAAACAACACGACCAGATTAAACTTACCTATACGGTATTCTAATTCCGAGGTATTAAACTAATTCCTTAAATATTCTTCTGCCACAATTCATAACGAAAAAATTCATATGAACAATTTCATATTTTTACATTCGAAGAATTACATGATCCTATGAAACATCGTAGATGAGATCGCAGAATTTACTTGAAACTTTTCACTTTTCACGTTTTCGCTCTAAGGGAAAAGTTATATAATCGATCTCCAGAAGAAGGTCCATTACATAACTTTTAGAAGCTAAAAATTTGAATTCTTACCATTCTGACTACATAAACATCTTTTACTTTAACTTGCTAATTTTATAGCTTAAAATTTTGCCGAGAAATTTTGCTTAATGTTTCGTCTGGGACTGAAGAAATGATTATTACTATATCTTTTTAAAACTACGAATCACAATGGGACTCTATCTTTTTTTGACCACTGAAGAATTGTATACGATATAATTTATATTTTATAAATTATTATTTTTATATTATGTGAGTGAACCTAGCTTCTGATATGGCTTCTTAATATCATTTTTAATCTATGTTTATACATATATTACGTTTCTTATCGGTTTATCGATGCGTACGATTAAGTGATAATTTTCATGACCGCGGAGCATTGCTGAGGAAGATTCTGTGAGTTGAAAAGGGATTTTCATTTATTTTGAATATAAGTTCAATATTTTTATCACATCCATATGTTCCCATTTTTTTGGCCACTTATTTTATTGAATAATTATTATATTGTTTAGAGAAGAATTGCTTAATGCGTACCAATCATCTAAATTATATTTTATCATTTTTTTCTTATTAAATATATTAACATCTAATAAGTAAATAACAGAAAATATAGACAAAAGTTTTAAAATTATATATTTTATTTTATGTATATTTAGATATTTTTTTAAATCAGATACATTAATGTAATTTTTTAATTACAATTTATAATAATATTCTGATATTGCAATTTTTTATTCTGCATTTCTATGTTTATAAAAATTTATTACAAAATTTATTACAAAATTCCAAATACTTTATGTGTATATTATAATTATTATAAAAATTACTAAAAGTTTTTATAAAATTTATATTCCCTAAATAGAATCATGATGTTTTTAAACTGTATTGATGTGACAAATCATATTTATTTATCATTTATTTATCATGTTATGACTAAATCATTATGTATATATGTATACAGTATATGTATATATATATATAGTTATAAGATGATAAATCAAGTATATTCACTTGTGATAACCTAAACGCGTAATAGCGAACATAAATTATAGAATACTCAAGCATAAATTCTCAAGTTTTTTATTAATCGTATTATTATTATATTGTATGTTACATAATTTTTTTGTAGTCCTGTGTTATTAATATGTATATAAATCTTCGCAACTATATCTTTTGTTATTTTTATTTTCAAATTTATTATTTTTAAAGAAAGTATGTTTTTGAAAATTGATATAACTATGATTTGATTCGATTAAACATATACTAATATTCATATTGAATACGCGTTTACATTATGAAAGTTCTTAGCAAAAGATTAAACATAAAGCTGTAAGTATTTTAAATATCAATCGAATTCTAATATTAATTTACATATAAGTTAGTGACTAACTGAGAAATATAACATAAAAGATCTTAAATAATAGGACTTAAATAATAGGACTTTAATAATTCTTCTCTGCAGTTTAAAAAAAAATTTTTTCTAAATATTTATTATATAAAAAATATTGCGTGATAACTGCAGCTAATTCGTTATTTATAAAATAATAATGTTTATGCTAAAAAATTATTTGAACTTTAATATTATTTGTACTTGCATCAAATCGCATTTTTACGGCATTGATATTTCTCACAATTATGGACGGCAATTGTAAAAGTTGATATGTACACGTGATTACATTACAATCTAAACTAAGCTTACAATTTTTCATTCCTAACTATTTCGTACAACATTTAATTTGAAATACTCTTTTATATAAAAAGTTTCCAATTTTATATTTTTTTATAGATATTTTCTTTGCTAATAATTCTGTAATATGTTGGCACAGCACAAAGATTACTCATTGATATTGATCGATGTGCTCACAATTGAAATTGAATATTTATATGTGAAATACACTCGTTTCATCAATTCAATTAATCAGTAATATCCATCGTATATATCGTTAAGCTAATTACTATTCTATTTCCATACTACCGCGTCGTCATCGCGTTCTGTTTATTGTTAAGGTAACGTTAATGACAACGACAATAAAATTATATGTCAGCCATATTCTCATGCGAGCAACGGAGTCGTCGTGCGCTCGTGTAAAATCGACGTTTACTGCCTACCTTCCTGACCCTGAGGACTTTTATGCGACGTATAAGAGTGGATGTCGGATAGCGCCAGTTGCATTTTCGAGCGTTTTTTGATGCCGCTCAGATCGTCTAGAACGTCGAGCATCCGTGATTGATTTCGTGTTCGAATATTTTGAAAGTTTCGAGTTATTCGATCTTCGAGTTACGTGCCTGCTAGCTGATAGTGCTGAAACCTCCCAGCGCATCATGGCACCATTGTTAGAAAGTGAGTACAAAACCGTTATCTTGAACGAAAGTGCGTGTTTGCGACTGCACGGTTCTCCCAAGTCTTCTCTGCGCGTCCTGATGAACAAACGTTATATGTTCTTTTTATAAAAAAAAAAACATGTAAAGGAAATCTTACTATGCTCAGAAAACAAAATCATACTGATGGCAACAGTAAAGATAATCAGTTTTTATATAGTGAACCGAGTAGTTTTATTTTTAGAATTAATTTACATCCCAATCGATGCCAGATAAAAGTAACATAACGTTGTTACAATTTCGTACTCAACAATATAAGTGTTACGTAACATTATGTGTTATATTATTATATTTTATTTATATTGTTGAGTGCGAAATTATAACACTGATATCAAGTTACTTTTAGAGCTGGTATATATATAGTATATATATATATATTCCGTATATATATATCAGTATATATATATACCATATATATTCCGATTTCTTGTGTCTTTTAATAATGCATCAGGCTTAAAGGTGACAAATTTTGTATAGAGAATTAATATACACGTAAGTTGAATTATTTTATTGACATGCACATGAATAAGTTATTTTATAGTTGCAATAAAATAGTTTATTTAATTTTATATATATATATAACATGAATAAGTTATTTTATAGTTGCAATAAAATAGTTTATTTAATTTTGTATGTATATTGCAATAAAATAACTTATTCATGTGCATGTCAATAAAATAATTCAACTTACGTGTATATTAATTCTCTATACAAAATTTGTCACCTTTAAGCCTGATGCATTATTAAAAGACACAAGAAATCGGAACGGAGAATAATAGAGAATAACAGATTTCAGCTTAATCAGAAACCGTGTATTCTGGAATATACAGTTTCTAACAGGTTAAAATCTGTTATTTCCTGTTCCTGTTGTCTGTGCTCTTCAATTGTGCATTAGGTTTTATTATAGTTGTTATCACTATGTTTTCCGCCGAGTACTCTCACATACCGGGAGAGAGAGAGAGAGAGAGAGAGAGAGAGAGATGTGTCAGTTTGTATTAG